AGGGGTGCAATATCAACAAGCCGGAGACACCAGACGGCCAAGACAACAGGTAGTTATCGCAAACTCTGATTTTATACCGGAGTCATGTTCCTTTCTTATTGTGTCTCGCCTATATTAAGAAAAATGCATATGTGGGAATTCCCTCAAGTTTCCAAGGCTGCTTGTCATGGTGACATGTCACAACCAGCATGCTTTTGACATATGCGTCGCACTAGCAAACCTTGCTATGCAGACTGACGGTGCGAAGCAAAGATGGAGAAACGAGATATGACACATCTCAGGCTGGGGCGGAAAACGTACCTAACCTGTCGAGGGGGGGAGGAGGTTCAGACATATAAAGCTGTCATTTTCCAGTCCTTTATCAAAGTTCAACGTCCATACGGGAACAAGACCAGATTTCAGCTCCTTGACAAGGTCATTGCAGGGCCTCTGGCTTTTCAGAATGGACGTCGAGGTTGGCGAGAGCAACCGCCTGACGGGTCATACATGCCTCGGTACCGCGTGTTTTTCCTTTGCGAGGAGATAGTCAGAGCTTTGTCGTCATCAGCTTGGGGAGGTACACACAAGGTTGGAGCTTCAAATTGGAGGCATCATATTGGGTCGTCGCCATTCACAGACCAACATTCGATACATATATTTTTACTGGGTAGACGTCTCCAGTTCGGGCTTTGAGACATGTATTTATGCTGTCGAGTTCCATGATCAATCAAGGGTATCATGGCTTTCTATCAAAGACCCAGGGTGAATGGACACAATTGCTGGAGTCGATCTCGGGATGCGATGATGGGCGGGAGCGGATGACTCGATTCGAGTGTTACCGGAGCAGGGACATGGGGATAAATGCTTCAATTCCGACTATTTTTTTTACATCGCGCCGAGTCCGTCAATTCCAACACCCTTCCTCAAAGGCGCATCGCCCGCGTCGCATTCCCGCTCTTGCTAAACGCCAGCGTCACCCACCCCGCAATCATGAGCAGACCGCCCAGTGGCGTGATGGGGCCCATAAAGCGGAACCTCGCAGGATCCAGCGTGAGGGCGTAGATGCTGCCGCTGAACATGGTCATGCCGGCCGTCAGAAGCGATGCCGCGACGGGATGGTCGCCCGCGACAAGCACCACGACGGCGTGGATGAGCTGCGCAACCACAATTAGCGAGGGTTCTTCATCTCAGCGGCATCAATTGGACGGACCTGGTAGTGGGCAGCCGTGTTCCAGTTAGCGATCCGCGCCGGGTCGTTGATATGTCTCTTGAGGCCGTGGGCGCCAAAGGCACCCAGCGCGACGGCTGCGGCGCCGTAGCTCGCGCCGATTTTCCAAAAGGTCTCTCTGTCCATGATGGTCGATTTCGGGTCGCTGTCGCCTGCGGCAGTCGGTTCGAGCAAGGAGGTTTCTTCGTCGGCGCGATCAAGCGACATTGATTTGATTTGAGGCGATGGATGATGTGATGGGGTTGCAAGACGTGTGGTCGAATCAAGCTCCCGCGACAAGGGTGTCTTCGCGTTGGTTGCTGTCGCGACACGTCACGTGATAGCGCAAACAAGCGAAAAGGGGGCCATCACGAATAGTTCCGAATATCGACTGCGATTCGGATAGAGCGGAATCAGTCAAGCCCAATGGTGGTGGTCATTGAAACATCTATTGTATACTGTGGCAGCGGCTTCATCAATGGAGAAGGCGAGATGGTGTCCTTGACACGGCACCAGACGCCGCGCGAGATGGTGTCGCGCAGTTTGCAAACTGTCAACCATGGGAAGAGGAGGAACCCCAGTTTTCCAGTATTCTCGTGACGTTCAGCGATATATATTTTATTTCAGATGAGGTGTTCGATGTGTCACGTTGTAGCCATTGGAGGATTCTGCCACTCCGAAATGGGATGGAAAATACTCGAGGAAGGAACGCGGACCCAACACCCCGCAATAGCCACCGCAGGCCATTGGTTGGAGCCTTTGAGAACTGAGCGATAGAAGGGGGATAGCATCGGAGCCAACTTTGACCCATCCACTTGTGCCCCATCAATGTTCGGTTTTATGGGATATCAGAGTCTGACGGATTAGCGCCTTTGTTGAGGCTTATTCTACTGGCTTTTTCCTGTGCCATTGCCCGTGAAAATTCAATCCAGGTCTGCTTGCTCATTGTCCACTTGTGGATCCACAATTTGAACGAGTGTGAATTTCCCCGAACAACAAACACTGGACCTCTGGCTCTTCAGGTGGTCATTTTTTCCAGCACCCGACAACTACACCAACCTCGACAACGACACCAATCCACCCACCCCTATCAACAGCGGCACTCTCGCTGGTGATTTTTTTTCCTCCCTCAGCCTTCACCTTTACATCCTTTCATCACCATATCTGGAAATCCCACCTTCAAACTTTCGCAATATGCTCAAAACTGTGAGGGATCTCCAGCAGCAGGTCAACCAGCTCCGGCAGGGTGGGTGCCGGCATGATGTGCAATTGAGGTTATCGCCTTGGTTTGTTTGATGGGCGTTTGGGACCGGAAGTGGGATTGACTTTTGTCATTTGATCAGCTGAGCAGCTACTGCATAGAGTGAAGATACCCCTGCTTATTGTTTTCTGCATCGATGTCCCTTCTCAAATCATATTCCTGTCATTGTTGGGCATAGTGTCATCTCCATAACCAACAAATATTTTCGTCAGTGATGATCAATTCTCTGGATGCGGTGTTGATGTTGGGAATTGACTAAAGAATTTACGACTCCAAGGAATCGTCTTCTCCATGGCAGGATGTTGCGTTGCCCTGGAGAGCTGGCCCTGGCCCCGACCCGATGCGCCACCAGGGTGATCTAAACATTCACCTCCACCCAGCGGTCCTGCTGTTCGCTGACGACGGTGACGACCGCGGTCTCGAGGGCAATGCCCGAGTCCATTCACTGAGCAGTTGGACGAGCCGCGATTGGGCCGATTGTTGTTCCTGCTCCATGAATTTCCCAAGTTTCGGCCCGTGGCACCGCCGCCGATTTCCTTCCACGAGCACCAATACCACCAGTTTCGCACCCTCTAAATTCTCGAGACGCAATTTTCTCCCACCAACTCCAACCATCACCGCCCCTCTCTCCCACTCCACGACAATCAACTTTTCAAGCTCCGTCAACCAACTTTGAGCCACCACACCCCTCTTCACCTTCAATTCTCAACAGACCCTTCAGACACTGGCAGTCTGAAAATGGCGACCCCCAATGCCAACCTTCCCGCCGGCGGCCCAGGCCCTCAGGGACAGCCCGCGACCCAATCTCCGATCCCCGGCTTCTCCGCCAGAGATCGCGCGACCATCAGCGTCGTCGACCGTTACCTGAACGGTCTTGCAAACGGCCAACTGGCAATGGTACCACACCCTCACCTTCAACTCCTCCCGCGTTCCCAAGAAACCTGTGGACCAGACAAGCTGACATGTCCCTCCCCACCAGATCCGGACGAGAATCACCCACCTTTCCAGTGCGCAGGAGGCGCTGACGCAAGAGCTTGCCGACCAGAGGATCGCCGGTCTCAACAATGACAGGATCCTCGGGGAGAAGCTTATGCAGGAGGAGGCCCAGCGAACGCAGGAAATGAATGACCTGCGAGCCGCATTCTCCGCCGCTATCGAATCGAACAAGAAGGACCTGACTGCCGAAATCATCAACCGTGCCAACGACACCACGGCGCTCCGGAACTCGGTCACCTTCGAAAGCGGTCGCCGCACACAAGACTTCCAAGGCCTCCGCTTCCAGATTGCCAAGACCGTCGCGGCCGAGATCAACACTCGGACTGCCAACGTCCAGGGGTTGTGGGACGCGCTGGTCAGGGAGTGCAACGAGCGCAAGGGAGAGGTCACCGAGCTTTGGGAGGAGGTTGCCGCGGTTAGTGGCGCGGTGAAGAAGCTTGTCGAGGAGAAGAACGGTGGTGTCGACAACAACGCCACTTCCCAGCCGAGGAGCGCCGTCACCTCCCAGCAGAAGAACGACGCCTCCAAGCACCACAACGAGGAGGTCATCAAGGGCCTCCGGAAGGAGCTCTCGACCCTCCGTAACGAGCTGCAGCAAGAGAAGATGATCAGGGAGAAGATGTTCAAGATCCTTGAGGCTGTAGCGGAGCAAACGTTCAATACCCACGAGACGGTCAAGTGCTTGGACGCGCGGCTGGAGATCATGAGAGACTATACCCTTCTTAACTTGGCGGAGGGCATGGTTCCTGTTACGGCTGTGGCGGCTGAGAGGGAAGGGGCTGGTGGCGATGTTGGTGCTGCTGCGGACGGACAGTAGGGATTCGGGGACATTGGGAGCCAAGGGGCTAGGACAGCATTTTTGGAGGGCCGGGCTTGTTGGGTTGGAATGGGTGGACTTGGGCGGCACTTGGAGAGAGCGATGGAGTTCTGGAGTTTGGACAGCGTTTTTTGACTTGAGATACCTTTCCTGTATTGGAGCATGCTATTTGACATTCACTATCCAGTGCCTTTTCTGCGACGTGGTCTCTGTTTCGCGATGGATGCTAGGGTGCCCAACCACCATCGCGGACTCGTGCTACGCCATGTCGAAGGCCTGTCCAGTGTCGACATAAGACGAACAACTCCCCGCCTGGCTCGTCTGACCCCTCATCAGACAATGGAGCCCCTCCTCAACCACCAAGTAGTCCATCAAGTCTCGTAAAGATATGTGTTTTCTCCTTGGAGAAAGTTAAAAATCGCATCGTCTTCATTCGGTCTTTGGTCATATTCCGAGCCGACATCTCGTCGAGAAGGCGCCAGAATACCTGTCGGAACGACGATGCCATCTCCTAAAGCAGGGAAAAGCATTGTCTGCGTAAGACGAGATGCTTCCCCCCCCCCCCCCGCTGTGATTCGCACTCCATCACTCATTTTGATCTATGCCGAGGTACTCTCGCTCTCTTTCGGTCCCGAGTTTACGTCCTCGGTGCCCCAGAAGCACCTTTTCAGCCCGGCCAGCACGCCTGGGCCATGGGACATGTACAAGAATGTTCATCCCCAGTTCAACAAAAAATTTCAGGGGGGGTAGCTCAGCGGTCAGAGCGCAGCGAACTTGAATTTGGTGTCCGTTGCCTAAGAATAGCGAAATGTGTCCCTAAGATGCCGGTTCCGAAGGTCCTGGGTTCGAATCCCAGTTCTCCCTTGTCTTCTCTTTTTGGCTTCCTAGCACCCGTGCCCTCAGGTACATAAGCAAAATTACAACCCCTCATCCCAACGAACAACTTTCAGGGAGGGTGGCTCAGTGGTCAGAGCATAGCGAACTTGCATTTGGTGCTTCCCCTAAGAAAAGCGAAACGTACCCTGAGATGATGCAGCTTCCTAAGATCCTGGGTTCGAATCCTAGTTCTCCCATCAGTCTTCTTTTTGCCTCCATCGTCGTCGTCACTACCCCGCGGGATGCTTATGGACACATCTCTCTTTGCTCGCTCGACCATCAAAGGCGACGTCCTCGCAACCAGGCCGACATCAGCATCGGACATCATTGACATGTGCAAGTCGGCACAGGCAGCTTGTCCAGAAATGTTCCAGATTATCAATGTTCCCGACACGACGAAATTCCAATCTTCCATTCATTCGCCCGACTTCAGTGTGCACAACCGACGGAGAAGTAGTATTTTGACAGCAAGTCTCATCTTCCCCGGTCGTCAAACATTAACGGCTTCCAATCCCGCATTCTCAGCTTGTCCTCGGCATCTTTCCATGCCCATTGCCGTCAACACAACAAAGTTATATTTTCCACCCTGGTCTCGGAAATGACACCTTGCCTCGAGCGACAGCGCTTCGTGCTTCCCTAGGGAGGCATGGCGGCCGAACGGTGGGGAAAATTGCTACACCGACCAGATGACAACAACGCGCTCACGAGTGCTGCCTCCCTTATGTCGTCGAAGAACAAAACCCACTCCCCCGTTCTTTCTCCCATCCGGTAGGCATCTCGACCCAGCGCGCCCCATCCCGGGTGAAGCGGCTGGATCCACGCCAAGAGAAGTGCGGCGGAGCTTCCTTCACCCAACCAGCAGCATTATCGACACTGTTTTGGCAATCGAGGCTTGTGTTCCCCTGAATGACTTCTTCTCCTTTGGCGATCCAAGGCTCAGCTTTGAAGAAGACTCGAGAGCGAGAAAGATAAAGGAACAGACACAGATCAGACCGATGCCACCATTCCGTCCCCTTGCCCGCCCTCGGGATTATGCCCTCTATCCTCGGCCGCTACTCCCCAGCCGGGGGGGGGGGGGGGGGAGCCGGCGCTCCATTTCGCGCATGGCCTGGCCTTAAAGCTGTTTGCTAGGCTCCTAGAGCTGGGATTCCAAAAGCACCTTGCGCAAGACGCAGTCATTGACATAATTTCGGACGATCGCCAGGTTGGTTGGTGGGATTGACCAAGGTTTAGACAGGCCGTCGCACACTCAAGCAACAGGTACGGCAGCACGCGTGTCCCAGCGCCATTTGTTGATTTGGAGGGGAGCAGGGGATGGTCAAGTTCAACTGTCCTAGCATCAACGAACGGCCAGGCATTCTGTCGGATCAGAGCATGATATTCCCTCTAGCTAATGCATATTCCCTCAACCAATCTCTCCATCACCAGTCTTCTCGAACACATCATGCCATATATACACTCCCCCAGCCTCACCCCCCCTTGACCGCCTCCCTGAAAGCCTCCTCCGCGACGCCCGCAATGTCAAACACCTTTGCGTCATACCCGCTCCCACCGAGCATCGTGATCCCAAAAGGCAACCGCACCCCCTCCCCATCCACATATGTCCCCGCCGGCACATTGACACCACACAGGTCCACGACGTTCGCATAGTGCGTAAATGTCCCCAGCTTGGAATTCAGCTTCAGCGGATCCGCCACCATCTGCTCAATCGTCGGGTGCTGCGTCGTCGTCGGAACGACAAGAACATCGATGCCCCCCCTCAGCGTATCAAACGTCTGCTGCGCCGTCCTCGTCAGCTGGATCTGCAGCGCCTGGTCGCGAAAGACGTCGTACGCCGACGGCGGGTTCGCCAGCGCGCCGCCAAACAGCGCCTTGATGACGGGGTGCAGCTCGTCCAGCTTCGTCTGGAGGAACTCGAGCCCGATGCACGTCATGCGCTCGTGGAGCAGCGCACCTTCGTAGAGGAGGTCGCCGGCGACCTCGAAGGGTTTGTAGTCGACCCCGACGAGACGGCCGCCGCAGGACCGGAGCGTCTGCACGGCGCGCGCAAAGAGATCTTGGTACTGCGGTGTGCAGACCTCGAGAGAGGACTGGGGTGGTACGGCAAAGGTGAAGCCGCCGAGGCGGGGGCCGCGGAAGTCGGATTTCCAGGTGACGAGCGTGTGCGGGAGCTTGGAGAAGGGGTCGGCGGGGTCGTGCTTGGCGATGATTTGCCAGACGCGGCGGGCGTCGGGGATGGTGGGCGCGACCACGGTGATGGTGTCGAGGGTTCGGCAGGCGGGGACGAGGCCCCGGGCGGAGACGGTGCCTTTTGTGGGTTTGAAGCCGACGACGCCGTTGAAGGCGGCGGGGACGCGGCCGCTGCCGGCGGTGTCGGTGGCTAAGCCGAAGGAGACGAGTTTTGCGCCGACGGAGACCACCGAGCCGGACGAGGACCCGCCGGAGATGTGCTTTTCGCTAAAGACGCTGTGGGGGATGCCGTAGGGGGAGCGGCAGCCTGAGAGGCCGGTGGCGAGTTGGTCAAGGTTTGCTTTGCCGATGAAGATGCCACCTGCGTCGAGCACATGCTGCACCGCCAGTGCGTGGGTAGATGGGGTGTAGGCATACTGGGGACAGGCTGCTGTCGTGACAATCCCTTGCACATCAATTGTGTCCTTGACGGAAAAGGGGACGCCAAAGAGCGGTGGGAGGGGCTTCCCCGAGTACCTGATGGCCAACTTTTCCGCTGCTGCAAGGACCTTTTCCCTGGGCTCAATGTGAATCCAAACAGCGGGATCGATAGACTTGTACTGTTCGATGCGGTCAAACGTGTAGTTGACGACGTCGACTGGAGAAATGATGCCCTTTTTGTATCGAGAGAGGAGCTCGGTGATGGGCGGCAAGCCGTCGTCGGCGAGTAGCGGCGGAGTTGCGGGGGGGGTTGCTTGCAGCTGGGATTTGTTCATGGCATCGAAAAAGTCGGGGCTGCTCCCGATGAAACCAAAGAGGCCATCCTGGCCACACACAATATCCAGAGAGGTGGTGACTTGCTGGGCGTCGAACCCTTGGGTGCAGTCATCCAGGATGCAGCACTGGTACCCACGATCGTTGCACTCACGAAGCGTCGAGGTGACGCAGCATCTAAGAGGATATGTAAGAAAGTGACAACACAAGTGTGGGATGGGGCGGGTTACTCTGTGGTGACGCCGGCAAACAGCAAGTGGGTTACTCCCCGAGCAAGCAGCACTCTGTGGATGTCGGTGCCCCAGAAGCTCCCTTTCCCGGGCTTGTCAATAACAGTCTCGCCGGGCCAGGGCGTCAGCTCCTCGATAATGTCGTGGCCGTATTCACCCCTGACAAGAAGTCGGCCCATGGGGCCTTGGTCGCCAATACCAATGCCGTGATGGCCATTGGGAGCTGAAATTTGGCGGAGCCTCTTGGAGGCCGGCAAGTCGGCTAGGTCTGGCTGGTGGCCTTCGCGGGTATGGATGACATGTCCGCCAAAAGACCTAAAGGCATCGAGGACGCGTTTGACGGCGGGCACGATGGCGCGCGCCCTCGAGAATATTTCATCGTTGCCGCATTGGACCTCGCCGAACCCGCCAGGGTCAACAAAGTCCCTCTGGATGTCGATGATTATCAGGGCCGTCGTCGACAGGGGAAACTGGAAGGCATACGGCCTGGCATTGGGCAGAGACAGGAGAGGAGTCCGAGGGGGCATGATGCCGGTGCTTGGCTTCTTCGACTGACCACACTGTTGGGTTCTGTTGACGGCGTGGACTGAAAGCTCTGATGATGACTTGCAGGATGGTCTCGGCTTGGAGGAGATCTTGGAAAAACAGCGGCCTGGCCGATTGGCGTTGAATGCAGAGTCTAGACTGGAGACCGGCTTCGGCAGGACGGACTTGGTGGGAGCGAGATAGCCACGGATAAGGGGGCTTGGAGACCGGCGGCGATCTAGGGCGTCGGGCGAAGGCAGAGATCAAAGACGGGTACCAGGTATGGGCGGCGGCTTTCCTGTCCCAGCGTCCAGACTACGACTTATCATTGTTGGGAAGACGAGCGTGCGCGACATTGGCTACCACTGGTGAGATACGCACGCCTTCGGGCTTCGGGAATGCCCGCGGGTAGTGTCCAGTCGGCATTTGCCTCTCTTGCGGGATCGCTTATCTTTAGTTGTCGCCATGATCAATTCTTTGGTGGTGCGGGGTAGCCTGGGCCTTTGTTGTCTCCAACTTTGAGGCCGGCGGGCCGCCGGCGAGGACAGTCAAGATGCCAAGGAATCGATCTTTGTCGGTGCTTCAGCGAGGGCACCATGGTTCGAACTGGTCAGGGCGGTGGCCTTCAATGTTGGAGAAAGAAAATAGGAGCGCTCTGCTATTTGGTACAGTGGAAGCGGGATGGAAATGCGCCAACACGTTAACTCCAGCTTCGATGATTGCGATGAGTTTGGCTAATGATGGGGAGAGAGGGAGAGAAAAGGAGAAAAGGAGAAAAAAAAAATCGCGACTTCTGGGTTCTGACTCCAAATCGCAGACGGCCAGGAGCTGATCCGTGCACTTCAACCCCTCACAGGCCTCCCCAAATCAACTCGGCTCTTCAAAATCGATATGGTTCCCTCTTCTGTTTCGTAGGAAGAGATACGGAGGAGATGGAGATATCTCAGATAGGCACACCCAAAGCTGCCGACCGCCGGGCCGCCGGGGAACTTCCAGTGATGGAGCTTGGGCCCGCCTTTGACGATAAGGCCTTATCTTGTTCCAAGCTCCCCCAAGTCAATCCCGACGGCACTTTTGCCCGCCCTCATTCCCACGTTCCCCCACGCCTCCCCCAGGTTCATGGCGTTCTCGTTGCGCCGGAACCGACAAACTCAATTGGCTGTATTTTTTATGGCTGCCTCTCTCTCGCCGTGGTCAGAGCTCCCTGCATGAGCTAGGTTCGCGCGCGCAGCACCTCGGCCGTCGACGACGCGACGGGAGCCTCGAAATGGCCACGGCCCACTGCTCCAACCCCCAGCCCGTTATCCCCGGACCCCTCCCGTGACCTGCGGCTATCTTGATCGCTAGCGGCCGCGGCCCTAGATCAAGATGGCCGTCAGCCCGGCCGTCGGCGAGCCCTGTCGTCAGGGCTATCTTATCTCGACGCAGCCCTGTGGAGAGCCATGAGGTGCGCCCTGAGGGCCCAACGAGGCGTCGCTGCTCACAAGCCCATTCGCCGT